GTTTTTTCAAAGTTAAACTTGCATTAATTTTACATGGCTTTCTAAACATGCGGCTCTTTTGTGCGAGACGCGAGTGAAACGGTGATAGATGTCCCTCTAGAAAATGCGTGAAATATACTTTCTGTGTGAACGGCTTGGTTTCAGTTTTGACGTAAACAAGATCTTCTCCGCATTGATGTTCTCTTTTCCCACAATATTTGTAATTAACAACGCAGCAGTGCCGCATCTAGTGGCTTCAACTGGATAGGCTAACAAAAACATTATAATGCAACGACACTTATATCGTCATTGCATCTCGTGCGCTACTGATAAGGCTGCCTCCTTAACGCACACCTAAAATTCGAATGCAACGTTTTTGCATTCAAATGTGTCTCATTTAGTGTGCCACTGATAAGGGTGCCTGACGCACACCTAAAATTCTAATTCAATGTTTTTGCATTCGAATGTGGATTTTTATTTTGAATTCGACGAATATTCGAAATTCAAAAAAAGATTTGACAGCACTATTGGTTGTTTTTTCTACTGGGACTGTTTCACCTGGCGAGCACTGTAAATAAATCATCATTTTTCACTAAACATCTCAGCGAGTATTGCCATCATTTTTGGGGGATTTTGGGATTTTTTTTGTCAACTTTTTGGTGTGGGTGAACCCTTTCGCCTGACAACGGGCCTGCGAAGACCTGTTGTCTCACACCTGTAAAGTGCATAAACCTTTAATTTGACATTTTTAATTTGACATTGTTATTACAAAGTAGGGATGCACCGATACCACTTTTTCCAGTACTCGCCCGATACCGATACTTTTATTTTTGGTACTTACTCAATCCACTCAGCGTGCTTTGTTTATCAGCTCGCGCACATCAGCTATACAGGCGTTAACACTGAATGTTTAATGTTCACTGGATACATATACTTCGTAGTAGACATCCTTAACTCCTTTCTGCTGTCTGTTGTTCTGTTGTTGGTGTTTCTTTGTCTGAATATGGCGCTTATCACATGCTGTGTGGTATCGGCGTTTGGTATCGGGGCATTTTAACGAGTACGAGTACGAGTACAGGAGCTCGGTATCGGTGCATCCCTATTACAAAGTGTACCTTTTAAAAGTTTACTTAAGTGTTTTTTTTTTAAATAGAGAGTATACTTTAAGTGCACTTAAAATATAAGTGGCCTTTTATTTACTTAATATCAATTTTTTTTAACAATGCCGTTTCAAGAATATAATTAAGCAGACTTCTTTTTCACAAGGATAGGCATTCCCATCCACTTTCCAGAGTTGTAACCTCTTTGAGTTTGTGACAGTGGGACAGCCAGATGATTTGCTCTAGATTTAATCTTTAAAGGAAATAAAAAGTGCACTCCACACATTCAACACCCTCAAGGCACTTTGGTAAATATTCAGCTTGAAAAAAAGCAAAGCACTGAGACATTTAGGCCGAACAGGCCTTCCAAAGCTGTCTCACACCAACTAGAATTTAAAATTTTTCAGTCCTCACTGCTGACATTCTATGAATTGTTAAGTATATGCCACCCAGATTTTAGAAGTCATTAAATTAAACCAATAGTTTATAAAGTACTATTAAAAAACACAGTGTGATTTGATAGCCATTGAAAACTATAAGCTATAAGCATTGCAACTATAAGCACTGTAACTATGTAAATGATTGTGTAGACATGGTCACAATGCAAACAGAGATTCCTTAAATTTATGCAAAATGGAATTTCATGTTGCTTATAAATGTGCTAACATAAACTTGCCCCATCTTCCACCACATCCCTTGATTTCTAAATCAATACCTATCAGATCACAGAGATTTCAATGTTTGGCTCTGTTTTTTGAATTGCTGCCTGGTTTGCTCTTTCACCCTGGGAATCTCATTTCACTCAGTCTGTGGTATGAAATCCTGAGACCGTCAACCACAAAACCTTAATTAAAGCAATTATGCAGAAAACAAGCGAGGGCTCAGAGTTTTGGCAGAATCGTACACACAGTACAAAGCATCATGCAAAACCCCTTTTGAATTGAGATTTGTTGTGGTATGTAGCTGACTCCTTTTTATTTATTAAAAACATATTAAAAACGTCTTTTTGTCAGATGTTGCAGAACATAATGACCATATGAGATGATATGCTCAACTACCTTCTCAGTGACTAAGAATATCTTTCGGGTTATGACTAAATATGTTATCCTACCTTCTTGGTCATCTTCTGAAGATGGTGTCTCAAGGCTACAGGCTGGAGATCTGTCTGCGAGACCCTGCTGTAATGTGATGTGAACCACTAGAAGCCTGCGCAGACTAATCAGATCAGAGTTTATCAGGCCCTGCTCCAGCTGTCGGAGGACTGTCTGTCCTGGCTGACAGGTTAATACCGTCACCTTTAAAAAATGTAAATTAATCAGCATTAGTATGCAAGTCAAAATTAGCTCAGCAGGCATTTCTGTTTGTAATAATTCACTTTATAGTTTATCAACCCTGTTTTTGGTAAATGGATTCAAGATTTCAACAGCCAACAGAAAGCGATTTTTAGAAGATACGCTACATTTGTTTCTCTGTAAATCACAAGTCATGCCATAATTCTGCTGACATTTTCAAACAATACTCACACAGAGTACCCATAAGGCCTCAAAGCCAATGCACTGTAATGTCCCTGCTTTTATGACTGCACGGATGAAAACTGATTATGGTAATTAGCTGTCTCTCTTGTTGATATACCAACTCAGAAAGTGAGGGAGAGATTTCTCACAAACTACACAGTACAAAAACATCTTTCTCTGTGGTATAATTGTGTGAAGAATGAGACTGTAGAACATATTTAAGGATACAAATAAATCAGTCATCAAAGCTGTGCCCTGTGCCACAGAAATAACTTGTACAAATCAGTGCTACATGATCTGTCTCATATTTGAACAGAGAGTCACAAAGAGAGTGCTACAATCACATACATCAAAGCTTCTGTGTTCCTCTCATCTTATGATAGACATCTGTGGCATAATTACAATAGCACTGTTGTATCTACAGTCGTGGTCAGAATTATTGGCACCCTTGGTAAATATGATCAAAGAAGGCTGTGAAAATAAATCTGCATTGTTAATCATTTTGATCTTTTATTTTAAAAATTCACATAAATCTAACCTTTCATTGGAGAATAAGAATTTAAAATGGGGGGAAATATCATTATGACATAAATGTTTTTTCTCTTAATACACATTGGACACCATTAACGGCACCCTTTTATTCAATGCTTTTTGAAACCTCCATTTGGCATAATAACAGCTGAGTTTTCTCCTATAATGCCTGATGAGGTTAGAGAGCACCTGACAAGAGATCAGAGACAATTCGTTCACCCAGAATCTCTCCAGACCCTTTAGATTCCCAGCTCCATGATGGTGCTTCTCCTCTTCAGTTCCCCACACTCGTTTTCTATATCATATTTACCAAGGGTGCCAATAATTCTGACCACGACTGTATGTCACTGCAAAGTGAGACCAACCCCATATAACACCATATAATCCCATTTAGGACACAAAAAATATTCTGTATAATCTGATTAAATGCACTTGTCCTCTGCTGTGCTTCCTGTGGGGGGACATTAGTGCTGGGTTTTAATGGAGCCTGCTGAGAGGAGAGTGGCTGTTGAGGGCCATGTGGTCTGTGATAGTGCGCCAACATCTTCATTCAAGGCTGATAGTAGAGGGTAAATGAGCTTTGGATTCATTGGTCGGAAATCTGAATGTGAATGCCTGCGCTTTGAAAAGACCCAATACAGATGAGACAATTTCTTTACTTGTGCTGTGAGGTTTAAACATAGCAGTGGGTTGAATCATTCTAAAATTAAGACAGGGGGCAGATGCATAGATCGAAAGGCAGTGAATGCTGATCTAAAGGATGAATTACCAGGGCAGGTCTTCATTAAGACAGATTACTGGGTAGAAAATTAAGACATTTATGAGTAAATATCAAAAGACCCAAACATCGTGACATTACTTTCAGGACAGATGACCACATTTTACTCCCCAATTCTCATTAGTGTAATGCAATTGGTAATGTTTTTGAATGATTCTCATTACTGTAATACATAGGGCCCTATGAAATCAGTTTTGTTTTATTTCCCCATATTCCATATTATTATTTTTTTTCCCAAATGTGATGTTTTCATTTTTCTGGATTCAATTTTTAATGGTTTAAATTCATTTTAATAAACAAAAATGATGTCTAATCAAATTCATAACATTTTAACAATAATAGGGTTCTATGACATTTTTTTTTAAATTTTGTTTTGCATTTTATTTTGTCAGAAATTCTTTTAAAATGTATTTCATGTAATTAAATAAAATTAACAATTCCTTTTATTTTTTTGGCAAACACCAACATAACAGCCTAGTGGGTAGTGCACAGACATATAATGCTGTAGCGTTTTGGGTGTCCCAAGTTCGAATCCTGGCTAAAGGACCTTTCTTGATCCCACCCACCTCTCTCTCCCACTTCGCTTTGCTTACTACTCTACACTGTCCCATTGTAATAAAGGCAAAACAACATAACACAAGAGTAAAAACAGGTTTACAGTTTAAATTAAATTTAGAAGGCACCAGACTCGTGTAACATTGTGTGATGATCCTTAAAAAAATGTATTACTGTAGGTGTGGAGATGAATTTCATGTGGTGAATGAACCCTTATATAATGATACAGCAGACACCAAGAGTGCCACATATGCTTGAGTGTAGTAGACAAAACTGCACTGGTCATTCACATAAAGACATGCAAAACATGCAGACTTAATATTTAAATAGCAGTCTTTTGGGCGGTTATTATTTACATATACCATTCACAGAGTAAAGCCATTCTTTTGATTTAGTCGTCCAAACGATACTGTGAAATTAGCTTAAAGCTGCAGTCCGTAACTTTTTTTGGTTAAAAATGATCCAAAATCAATATTTGAGCAAGTACATAACCAGCCAGTGTTCAAAACTACTGCCTTACTTCAGCCCGATTCACAACGGTAAGCTTATAATAATGTTGTCTAATTTAAGTGGTACGGGTAGGTTTTCGCGAGAAATTCGAGCATGCTGCTACGTCATTACGTCACTTCTGTAAACATAAAGAAGTTGTCCTGACTACTAGGATATCACATGTGAGGATCCTGCAGGTGGCGGATCGTTTATAGCCTTTTCTCACAGCAGCCAGAATAATTAAATGTATCATTTTGATGGCGGATTGTAATCCATAAAGGATTATGTGTTTATGAAACACATGTGAATTAAATTAAATTATATTCCAGTTATAAATGTGCTTCTGATTACAGATAGCCTGGGATTACAAAGATTTGTATTTTAAAGAAAACCAGTTCGAAGGGAGCATAATTTGCTTTTTGGGTTAAAAGAATTTCTTAATATGAAATTCGAAGAGTATGACAATTAGATTAGACTGTGCAAAAATCTAAATCTACACGCTAATACACACTATATTTATAGTCACCAATGCTGATGTTGTTAACATTAATCATTTGAGAATAAAGTATAACAATAATAATAATTTGAACGGTTTGATGTGATATGAGCTAACCGATATTTGGGTCATATTCCAAGACGTAGGCTATAATCTGTGATTGTGAAGTACAGTAAATATCCATTCCACACCAGTGCGGTGACTGACTGCCACACATACTCTTCAAAACATTAGATTAATCCGTGCTGGAGCCATGCCGACTCACAACCCACGCAAGCTAGATAATTCCGCACCCAACTGCAATTCCAGGTTTTCAAACAGAGATGGCGACAAAGAGGCCAAACTTACGGACTGCAGCTTTAAAGGGGTCATATGATGCTTTTTTAAAGATCATTATTTTGTGTATTTGGTGTAACAGAATATGTTGACATGCTTTAATGTTCAAAAAACACATTATTTTTCAAATACTTGCTTTCGCCTAGAAACACACAGCGTCTCCCTGACATGGCTGCTTCAACACTAACTGCAGTTACTGAAACCATGCCTTCTTTCTTTGCGTGCACATTTGGGCGCATTATGCAAATATTCCCACATAGTGACCTAGATATGTGGGGGCGTGTTAGAACGAGCCGTTTTAGGGGGGTGTGGCAGAGTCTTAACTTTGATAAAGAATATCTCTTTGGTTTTGAGACTTTAGTCTTTGCAACTTCAGGGATCTTATCTATTCACGAACAGCTTGTAACACTCCAAAGAGAAAGGAAAACTTGAAATCGCATCATATGACCCCTTTAACTATACAGAAAATATCAATTTCACTCCCGCAATTCCAAAAAATGCAAGGGTCCTCCTACTAGTAGATTTCTTTTTACAAAATGCTAATTTTTTGTTTTGATGTTTGGCGTAAAATGTGACCAAATATGACTTCTTCATGAGATTCATCTATATTTAATTAAAAAAGAAATGTCTTTGGTGAAAATGGCAAAATAATTTTCTTTACAGATAAAGAATTGAAAGCACTTTTAGTTTTAGCTGTGAAAGTTCTCACCTCCACACAGTTGCTGTTGAAGTCCCCATGAGCTGTATGACACATGTATTGTTTAAACTGTTGCAGGCTGTCCAGCACTGCCTGTTTAAGAAGTGCACCTCGTTGCCGAACGCAGCCCTCTTGAGGCAGAGAACGCAGCTCCTCTATACAGGACAGCAGGCGTGTCAAATTGCCCTTAACTTGCTAGTGAAGAGAATGAGATGAAGGAATTAAAAGGTTAAAGGAAGACATCAGAAGAGAGATACATAGTTGTATTTGTCTATTAAAAACCAACCTACTGTATAGCACCTAGTCAAACATCAGTGTAAATACACACATAATTATCCTCACCACAAAGGGTAAGAGACACTCCAGCTGTACACTGATGGCAAAGACGCTTAGCAGTGGCAAACGAGCAGGTCCTGCCAGGCTGCTGGCCAGAAAAAAGAAATTCTCTAGGGCCTGACACAGAATAGTACATGTCTCTGACCACCAGGGAGGCGAAGCATCTACTATCAACACACGAGAAGGCTGTCTGGTAAAGGATGATGAACTGCATGCTTGGAAAATGGAGGAAGAGCAGGATCTGTTTCTGGCACTCATGGTTCACCTACACACAGAGAGGAACATGAACATGGATGTAATTTAACTAGCTAACTTAAATCAAATCTATAAATATTACAGTAAAGGTACAAAAGGCATTTAATATTCATTCACTGATTGCCTAATTTACTGTTTTTCCAGAGCAATTGTCAGTGATGAGCAGTCTGTGTGGGTGTTTTTTTTTTTTGGTGATGAAATATCAGTCATTCACCACATGCATAGGTTAGAGAGCTGAGGAACTCTGTCAAAACCAGTACCCCTTCCTTCCATCACTAACAACTGAGATCAAAATCGGATGGAGGATGTGTTTGGAAACCCATACTTTATTTCTCTTTGTGGGAAAAATTAATAACTAATATCTGTAATACAACGTGTCATTTTATACTGTAACACAAAGTGAATATTTCAACAGAACACAGTGTCTTGTAATGTCACCACAATAACATAAGAAGGAACATTAGGCTTAATCATGGTAAACATGGCCAAAAAATGTTCTTCTGGGAAAAGAAGAAAGACTGTGAAAAAAAGAGACTCCCTATAAGTTCTTTTTCCAAAGCTGTAAAACACAAGAGTGATATTGTTGGTCATACCAGGGCAGATGGGGCAAATTGGTTAAATAAGGCAGCAGCTCTCTGCAATCTAAGGACTCATCAATGCTATCCCACTTGACAAGAGAGCTCTTTGAGCGCACTAATGCTGCGCCTCGGGCCTTTCCCGCCGCTTAAGCACGACACAGGCGACAAAAGACACTTTGTCTGCTCTAAAAACAGCTTCACAGACTCGCTGCCCTGAGATGAGCAGAAGATAGTACTGATGAGAAAATTGAGGAAGGATGACGAAAGAGGAGAGCAGGTGTTTCTTCAGTATTCATGTTAGATAGTTTACTAGAAGTAGGCTAATGGTATGATACGGGCACTCTCGCGCTCTCTCTGTCGGTAGGTGTATTTAATAGCGGGCCGCGGCTTCATTTGTTTACAGTGTGGAGATAACAAATAGCTTTAAAGTTAAATATAAGTTTATTTATTCATTATTTAAGGGGTGTATTGTAGAAATATTTTCCTGTTTTCACCAGAAGTTGACATCTCGTGCCAGCTGGGGTAGCTTTGATTGAGTTTCAAAAACGTAGTTATTGGATGCTCCAAAATATAGGCCGAGTTACACAAATATGTATTATTTCTGACACTTGGAGTGGTTAAATTAACTACAAATTCTTTATATTTACCTTAAACTTGTTACAGACCGCAGAATAACCCAGTAAAGAACTACACAGCATAATCCGTTTCCACCGTTGACGCCCCTCGCGCTCGCTCAGAATGAAACTCATTCGTGAACAAATGGCTCTTTTGAGTCGGATCTTGTCAATGAATCAGTTAAATTGAATTGTAAATTTTAAACCGGTTGATTGAAAGTCGATTTTCCCATGGAGATGTAAATAATTGTATAATATTAAATAATAATAATAATAATAATATAATTATAATTACAATATTTTATTCCCTTTCTCTTTAAATTTACTGAGGTCACTTTACAAAATAATAATAATAATAATAATAATAATAATGATGATAATAATAATAATATATTTTTTTTTCATTTTCTCTTTAAATTTACTGAGGTCACTTTACGATTCTGATCACTATACTCCCCAGATGCTGTTTCACAACTTCCAAGTATAAGGGGCTAAGTCAAATTATGAAATCTATTCTGTGCTGTTCAGTTTCCTGCATGAATCAAATCAGTGATTTGCACAGGGATGGTTGCAGACTCACTTACTGAAGCCTTAAGAGGCTTTAGCTGAAGGCTGTGTTGTGAAATCAGTACTGACACATGAAGACACATCACCTCTTCGTTATAGGCAGGAATCAGCATGAAGCTCCCACGTCTGTTCATTGGAGATAAGGGAAAGCAGGCAGAGGCTTCAATCCCAGTATGACGTTGTTGCAGAAATTGGCAAAATGGAAATCCAAGCTTTGGAATGCTTGGGGACATTTAATCTCAAAACAGTGTAGTCTACAAGTTAAGAAGGAAATGGGAACACAAGATGTTTAAACATGGAGTTTATATATATGCACATATCTAACTTTTTCAGATGCACACCCCCTACAATGTATCTGGAGAACTCAAACAATTACTCACTTCCATCTGACAATTGCAAAGTTTAAACCTGTTTTCAGTGCATCAAAATAAAAGCTTCACCCATATTATTTGCATTATACAGGTGCATCTCAATAAATTAGAATGTCGTGGAAAAGTTCATTTATTTCAGTAATTCAACTCAAATTGTGAAAATCGTGTATTAAATAAATTCAATGCACACAGACTGAAGTAGTTTAAGTCTTTGGTTCTTTTAATTGTGATGATTTTGGCTCACATTTAACAAAAACCCACCAATTCACTATCTCAACAAATTAGAATACTTCATAAGACCAACGACATTCTAATTTATTGAGATGCACCTGTATTTTCAATGTTAATTTCTGATGCTACCGTTATTATTACAGATATTACTTTTAATATCATGGGCAGAAGTGAATTTTTCACTACAAATACTTTCAGATTGGACCAAGATATAAAGAAGAATGTTTCCTGGTAAAAATGAAACAATAATTGAATTCAATAAAATGCAATAAAAAACTATTATGGTTTTTAAGTAAAAGTTGAAAGCAAGTAGATACTATTTAAATGTTGCATAGGTTTGTTCAGCTTACTTCATTTTTTTCTTTCCTTCATTTTCCTGCCTCCTTAGTAAGTGCAAGTAAAATGTCAAGGAAAAATAGTCTCACTTTAAAGATATTTTCAAGAATAAGATACTTAATTGATTAATTGAAACTTTGTGTTGAACTGTTTCTTTCAGGTTATAAACTTTACTCCCATAAAACAAGAAAGAAAAAAAAAAGAGGGGTGAATTTTTTTGCATGACCTATATTTTCATTCTTCATTTTCACATTCTCAATGTTTGCTTAGCTCTTGCTCAGTATAAGTAAGCTTCTTAATCTGAAATCTGTTCAGTCATGAACCAAATCACTAGATTTACATAAATAAATTATTACATAAAGAAATGTTTGTTGTTTCTTATGTTGATGGATAGAGAATCCCCATCCATTCAATTGTCCCTTTAGCTTTCTGAAGGTATATATGAAATGGACCTTTATTTTTTGCACATTAAAGGAGGTCATGTTCAAGCCAGGCAACTGCAACTGGTATTAATAATGGGTGGATTAATTACATATTATAATTAAGTATTATAGACCTTCTTGAATCGGAAAAAAAAGGAGCAATGCGGATGAAATAACCTCCATTTTACTATATGTTTGTTGAATTGCATAGTGTTTAGTCCATCTAGTGAAAAGTCAAAATTGTGAAAAAAAAACTTGCCCTGTAGAAATTGAAATTAATTTTTTATTTTTTAATATAAATTTTATTTTTATTATATTGTATTTTTATTATATTTATGCTTCTTACCAGAAATATGAGTGAAAATTTGGCCTATTGGTGGCGCTAGAGAGTTTGAGATAGAGACTCCAAATTTGCTATGGTTAATATTGAGACTGTCCTCTATCTGTGTGCCAAATTTCATAATTTTCCCTGAAGCGATGGGCTGCCATAGACTTCCAGAGTGGAAGCAAAAGAAGACAAAGAAGCGGAAGAGTAATAATAAGAAAATGTACTCGGTTACTAATGTAACCTCGGTTCCCTGAGATACGGGAACGAGTACTGCGTCTTGCTAAAAGATGCTATGGGAAAAAAATATTTTTTCTCCTGAACTGAAGCCTTTTTTCAATCACAAAGTGAAACTGCTCGGCACATGCAGTGCATTAAAAAACGAACCAATGGGTCGGCAGCGGTGCTGCACAAGCCTATGGCGACAAAGCCCGCCAGAGCCCACCAGAATGGGCGGAGCCATCTGGCTATATAAGCGAGCATTCGCCACAGGATTCTCAGGTTACTTCGACTGAAGCGACGACTGAGTCGTGCAGCTACATAGCACGGCTAGGAACGCAGTACTCGTTCCCGTATCTCAGGGAACCGAGGTTACATTAGTAACCGAGTATGTTCCCTGTCAATACTTCACTCGTACTGCGTCTTGCTGAAAGACGCTATGGGAACACAGTACAATCACACCGTGCTATGGTAGAGGAACGACTGCATATTATAACCTCCATAAGCAAGGATGCCCATAGGGAAGTTAACAATGAATTCCAAGGCTAAAACGGGCTGAACTTACCGAGGTCATGCCCGGCCTGGGTAATCGTTCCAAGGTACTTGTACAACCTCGGCGCCCCAGGGGCCGAGAATCAACAAGTAACTAACCCAAGAGCTTGAGTGTGTTACGGTCAAGGACTCTCTGTTAGAACTGATTGCATAACGCAGCAAGTGTCTCCTTAAGCAGAAAGGACCCTGGCTTGCAAGGCTGGGACTTCTAGGTTATAAAACCTAGCAAATGTGGACGGCGAGGCCCAGCCGGCCACCTCACAAATATCCGCAATGGACACACCGCTATACCACGCCCAGGACGAGGCGATGCCTCTAGTCGAATGGGCCCGTACTCCGATGGGACACTGTAGACCCAAGGAAGAGTATGCTAGAGTGATAGCATCTACTATCCACCTAGAAAGTCTTTGCTTCGTGACTGGATGTCCCTTCGGATACCGAAGCTAACAAAGAGTTGTTCCGACCTTCTAAAGGGGGCGGAATGCACGATGTAAAATCTTAGAGCTCTGACGGGGCAGAGTAAGGATAACTCTCTATCCTTTTCAGAGGAAGGAAGCGCAGAGAGCGTAATGACCTATGCTCTGAATGGAGTGGAGAGCACCTTGGGTGTGTAACCATGCCTCAGTTTCATGACGACTTTGGAGTCATTGGGCCTGAATTCCAGGCAGGTAGGGCTAATGGAAAGTGCCTGCAGATCTCCTATTCGCTTTACCGATGCTAGTGCTAGAAGCAGAGCAGTCTTTAGCGACAGTGACCTTAGGTTTGTAGACTGTAGTGGCTCGAAAGGAGGGCCTTTCAGGGCCCTCAACACAGTAGGCAAATCCCATGTAGGGATAGTGAGGGGGCGAGGCGGATTCAGCCTCCTGGCCCCTCTCAGGAAGCGGACAACTGAGTTGTTCTTGCCCACTGACTGGCCCGCTATAGGGACATGTGAGGCCGCTATAGCTGCTACATACACTTTGAGCGCGGATGGGGAGCGTCCCTTATCCAGCAGCTCTTGTAGGAATGATAAGACCACTGACAGGTCAGAGGTAAATGGGTCTTCGCCGCGGTTTAAGCACCAAGCGGAGAAAACAGAACACTTAAGGGCATAGAGGCGTCTTGTAGACGGGGCTCTAGCTTCCGAAATAATGTTTAAAACTCGCTCTGGGAGGCCTGTAGGCTCCCGTCGAGCGGCCAAAGGTGCAGGGCCCACAGTTTGGGTCAAGGGTGCCATATTGTCCCGTTCGCTTGAGAGAGGAGATCCCGTCTCAATTGAATGGGCCAGGGGGCTGCCACCAGCAGCCGTGTCAGCTCCGACAACCAAAGTTGGTTCTTCCAGAGGGGGGCCACCAAGAGGACCCTGTGTCCCTGCTGCTTGATTCGCCTGATTACCTGTGGGATCAGAGCGATCGGGGGAAATGCGTGTAGCATTTGGACCAATCAGACACACAATTTTTCATTAGATTAACAAACATTCACAGACCCCTCACCCAATAAACATACTGGGTGCCAAGATGTCTGTGAACGAGTCATAGGAAAACCTTTCTATGAATGAACACACATATCCTCAGGTCATTGTGTATACCATTACTGTTCTTGTATATTGCCTTTTGTATTGTATACTGTTTTATGCCTGTTATGATAGATCACTAGTTAATATAACCTCACCTATATCATGTTTGGTCTCTATGAATTCGTCTTTGGATGATCTAATTCAGAGTGCATATTACATGTTGATACCTATGCAACATATTAATGTTCTAAGAATCTTTACTAGTTTGTGCATCAACACCCAATCGAATTACATATGCGAAATGCCATGCTTGGAGACAAAGAGTCTTAAACTTTCCCTCCAAAAGTTCAAGACACCATTGGCTCTTTGATCCCCCGGAGGTGTGAGCTCAATAGGAGATAAATCTCTCACATCAGTGACCCGCCTCGGTCAGTCTGGGGGTTCTATTAGATTCAGGAATTCCAGGAGAAGATGCTGAGCTAAGAGTCTTAAAACCACCCTAAGCTTGTGCCAGGCTCCTGCCTAGTCTTTCCATTC